ATGGGGCCTGAACTCTGGGCCTGGGCGCTGTCCCTCAGCTCTTCAGCTCAAGGCTAGTGCTCTACCACTTGAGCCACAGCGCAACTTCCGGCTTTTTTCTTTTTGCTTATTTGGTGCTGAGGAATTGAACCCAGGGCCTCATGCATGCAAGGCAAGCGCTCTACCACTGAGCCACCTTCCCAACCCCCCAGACCCCTTTCATCTGACAGCTCCAGACTCAAGGCCCAGGCTTTTTTTTTTTCTTTTCTTTTTGCCAGTCCTGGGGCTTGAACTCAGGGCCTGGGCTCTGTCCCTGAGCCTCTCTGTGCTCAAGGTTAGTGTTCTACCATTTGAGCCACAGTGCCACTCAGTGGTGCTGAGGAATCGAACCCAGGGCTTCATACATACTAAGCAAGCACTCTTCCACCAAGCTACAATTCCAGACTTTAAAACAACCCAGGCCTCAAAACTCAAGGCCTGGTCCTATATAGCCAAACCTACTCTAGCCATCCATGCTCCCCCACACGCCTGGCCCCCTCGAAGATCAGCCTCAAAACTAGTCCCAACCCTGGGGTTTCCCAGCCCCACCTGTCCATACCCGAGCTCCTACACCAACACCACCAAGCCCCCCCCCTCCCAGCCCCAAGCTCTCCCAGGCCAGGACCCCCTGATCCTATAGCCTGGCTCTTCCCCTTCACCTGGTGAGAATCTCTCATCTTCTTGCAGGTGTAACTGAGGCCTTCATCTCTACCTTCATCTCTACCCAACTCCATGCTGAATGCCCCCTCTGCCTCTTCCTTTGGCCTCTCCCACCCCCAGTTCCAGGAGGATGGAGCTCTCTGCTGCCCCCACCTGGCCTGTGTACAATACAGCCCTACTGACTCTGCCTCTGCCTGCGGTGCTGCTGTGTCCACACAAGAACGTGTGGTGTAGGGGGAATGGCAGGATGTACCACCTGGGTCAGCCTAGACCCGGGGCAGTGTCAGGGTTGGGAACACAGCCATCGACTGTGACTGAGAGGTAGGTATGCATAAAGATCCCACCCAGAGGGCTAGGTGTGGTGGCTCACATAGCTAGTTACTCAGGAGGCTGAGATCTGAGGATTGCTCACAGGTCACATAGCCCAGGCAGGCGAGTCCCTGTGACTCTTATCTGTCATTAGCCAGCAAAAAGCCGGAAGGGAAGCAGCGGTGGCTCAAGTGATAGAGAGCCAGCCTTGAGTAAAAAAAAAAAAGCTAAGGGACAGTGCCCAGGTCCTGAGTTTAAGTCCCAGTTCACTCACACACACACACACACACACACACACACAGGTGTTGGTGTGGAAATTCCACAGTGGTGAAGGATTGGAGAAAGAGAGAATGGGATTGGACTGGAGGCGGGTTCTGAGGACCAGAGACCAGGGGTGCCACTCAGCATCTTTGAGCATATCATTTTATTTATTTACTTGGTGGTGACTTGCTGAGCACCTACTATCTGACAAACACTGAATTCAGGCATGGAGCCTGTTCCCCCGGGGCTGAGAGAGTCAGAGCTAGACAGTCAGGGAAGTGGGAAGCCAAAGACCAGGCAAGATTTGGCAGCAGGGAGGTAGAAAAGGGCCAGGAAGATATGGGGAAGATTATGTTGGGGGAAGGGATCAGATATGGAGTGCTGACTGTAATCCTTGCTACTTACAAGGCTGAGATCCGAGGGTCACGGTCGGAAGCTAGCCAGGGCAGGAAAGTCCATGAGACTCTTATTTCCAATTAATGAGCAAAAAGTCAGAAGTAGAGCTGTGGTTCAATTGGTGGAGTGCTAGCATTGACCAAAGAAGCTCAGAGACAGAACCCAGGTCCTGAGTTCAAGCCCCAGGCCTGGCATTCAACAAACAAAAACTGGGGACTCATGGCCTGTAATCCTGGCTACTCAGGGGGCTAAGATCTGAGGATCAGATCAAAGCCAGCTGGGGCAGGAAAGTCCATGAGACTCTTATCTCCAATAAACCACCAGAAAGCCAGAAGTAGTGCTGTGGCTCCAAGTGGGAGAGCACTAACCTTGAGCGAAAAGAGCTCAGGGACAGCACCTAGGCCCTGAGTTCAACCCCATGACTGACCCCAAAAAAAAAAAGAGAGAGAGAGAGAGATTCTGAAATGGCGAAAAGCTGACAAAGCAGGTTGGAAAGCCAAGATCGGAAAGACTGGAAAGCCAAGGGTCAGGAAGAGGGCGGGGCGAGGCTCAGAGACGGCTCTGAGAGGCCCAATCAGCCCGTCACTCCCTGAGCTGCACAGACACGGAGGAGTCGGTCACCCTGGTCCTGCGGAGGCCCCTGGGCTCTATGCGGTTCTTGGTCTTGTGCAGGAAGTGGACGAACCTCACCCCGGGGCCGTATTGGCGGAAGACATGTGACACCTGTGACAGAGCAGGTTTAGGAAGACCCCACCCCACTGCCCTCCCTCTGCAGGGTCCTGGAGTGAGGGGACCCGGCCGGGGGCATCTCACCTGGATCCAGTTCCCCGGGGGGCCCCTCCCCAAGGTGCGGGGGGCCACGTGGTGCTGTGCAATGACCGTGCGGCGGTCGGCCGCCAGCAGCCAGACGTGCAGTTCGTACACACAATCGTCCAGCCGGCTGTCCTCAAACCTGGAAGTGGGGTCCCATTGTCAACCATGTCCCCCAACACCCCTTATCCCAACCACCTTATCCCAGCCTTATCCCCCTTTCCCAGCCTCCATCTCGGCTCAGAACCATTCAAATCCTCTACCTAGGCTGGCAGTTTAGGGTAGGGTGGTAATACACCTTGTCTTTAGGGGGGGCGTGTCTAGAGATAAATTGGAGGGGGGGCAAGTGTCACTAGCAGTGACCACCCAATATGCTGGGACAGGTGAGGATTCGCAGGTGGGGGGGGAGGAGGGGGCAGCTCAGGGGGCACCGGATTGCATCGGGCCCAGCTGGGCATAGTCAGAGCAGACATATCCTCGGAGCTCTTGGGGATAACTGCTTACAGCAAGGAGGAATCTATTTCGAGACTAAGGAGGGAGCCATGGGCTGGGAAGGTGGCTCAGTGGTAGAGCGTTTGCCTTGCATGCATGAGGCCCTGGGTTCGGTTCCTCAGCACCACATAAGCAAAAAGAAAGCCGGAAGTGGCGCTGTGGCTCCAGTGGTAGAGTGTTAACCTTAAGCTGAAGAGCTGAGGGACAGCGCCCAGGCCCAGAGATCAGGCCCCACGACCGGACCCAAAAAAAAAAAAGGTTTAAGGCCTGTCCAGGCAGGAAAGTCCATAAGACTCTTATATACACCAATTAATCAGCAAAAAACCAGAAGTGGAGTTGTGGCTCAATGTGATAGAATGCTGGCCTTGAGCAAAAGAGCTCAAGGACAGCACCCAGGCCGAGTTCAAGCCCTAGGAGCAGCAAAACAACAACAACAACAACAAATCAAAACCAAACACACACACACACACACACACACAAATGGTACCAGACATTCAAAGAAGGAAACACTGGGCAAAAGCCACAGATTTTTTTTGGGGGGGGTTGGTTGTAGGGCTTGAACTCAAGGCCCAGGCATTGTCCCTGAGCTCTTTTGTTCAAGGCTAGCACTCTACCACTTTGAGCCATAGAGTTACTTCCAGCTTTCTGGTGGTTATTGGAGAAGAGTCTTATGGACTTTCCTGCCCCAGCTGGCCTTGGACCCTGATCCTCAGATCTCAGCCTCCAGAGGAGCCAGGATTACAGGCTTGAGCCTGTAGCAGGCAAGGTCTTGTGGGCGTGGCTGTAGCGGGGCGGCTCTTATCATAGGCGTGTCACTGTGGGCGTGGCTCACTGTGGATAGGTTTCCCAACGTGTGCAATGTTGTTGTGGGCGTGGCCATCGATGTGGGTGTGGCCTGGTGGTGTGGGCGTGGCGTTGCTAGCTGCGTTGTAGGCGTGGCCAGGTCTGCACAAGAGGTCCAGTGCGGAGGCAGACCCTGGGAATCAAGGTTGGGGCTGCGGGGCAGGCGGGGCACACACCAGTCCATTACGGTGACATCCGGCTGCTCGTCATCCAGCAGCTCCTCCCACAGGCCCTCTGCCAGGAGGTTCACGCACTGCTGCTTCACTGTCCAGCTGCAGAGGGAGAGGAGGGGGGACACAGAGGTGGGGTCTGGTCCAGCTGTGATCATCAGGGCTCCAAGGTGACCCACACACAGATGCTGGGTGCCTCGTTCATGCCTGAGAATCTCAGCTCCTATGAGCCTCTCCGGGAACCATGAACTCTAAACCTTTGGTTACAGATGGGGAAACTGAGGCAGAAGATGAGAACTTGCACAGCCAGGGTTAAACAGTGAAGAGTAGCAGAATCAACACGCTAACCAGAGCATGCGTGACTGGGCCACGGAATTCCAGCCTCTTGGTCCCTGGGCATTATCAGGGCTGGGTTCACTGGATGACAAATGGCAGCCTGGGTGTCCCTTCCCTCCCAGAGGAGGAAGAGGTCAGGAACGATCACAATAGCAACGTCAACTGCTACTTAATGGACCTAGTAGGTGGTGCTCCTCTACCCCTCCCCCGCCCCCCATGCTCCCAGTTTGGCAATCATCCTTTCTCACTAAACTTTGCAGAAGGCAGAGGCCCAGAGAGTCTAAGTCTGTTTCCCCAAGCCACACAGCAGACTAGAATTGGAAGAAAGATAAATATTTCCCACACAACCAGGGCCTTGCTGCTCACCTGAGATTGTGCTGGAGCTTTTCAGATCCAATGTACCATCCATGGAAATTGCCTGGCAGGTGGGGATAGTTAGAATGTCATTGTCCCCTAAGAATAATGCACACCCCCCCCCAATACAGCCCCAGCACTTACCCAGGGCCTCCAGTGGTTGCTGGGTGGGGCCAGTAGGAGGAGCAGGTTGGTAAATGTTAATACCTGAAACCACAGCGTTGCACACAGCCTTAGGCTCCCCCTTCCCCTCCCATCCCCTCCCTCTTCCCTTCCTCTTACCCCAGGCTGTGGGGGGGGGGAGAGGCTGAAATCAGAGGCCCGAGGAACGAGTCCCACAGGGATGAAGGAGTGAGGGTTGGGGCGGGCGAGGGGACAGAGAATGTGTGGGGGAAGGCAGGGGTGCTGTGCGGTCTCACCCTCCCCCATCATCCCAGCTCCGACTCAGGAGGCTGAGATCTGAGGATCACAGGTCAAAGCCAACGCAGGGAGGAAAGACTTTGAACCTGTTCATCTCCAATGAACCCAGGGAAAAGCTGGAAGGGGAGCTGTGGCTCAACTGCCCAAGCTCTGAGTTCGAGGGGGGAGGGGGGAGAGAGCGAGACAGAGACAGAGAGACAGAGACAGAGACAGAGAGATAGAGACAGAGAGACAGAGAGACAAAGAGACAGAGACAGGGAGACAGAGACAGAGACAGAGAGACAGAGACAGAGACAGAGAGACAGACAGAGACAGAGAGCTAGAGACAGAGAGACAGAGACAGAGAGACAGAGACAGAGACAGATAGGCAGACAGAGACAGAGACAGAGAGATAGAGACAGAGAGACAGACACAGAGAGGCAGAGACAGAGACAGAGAGACAGACAGAGAGACAGAGACAGACAGAGAGACAGACAGAGACAGAGAGCTAGAGACAGAGAGACAGACAGAGAGACAGAGACAGAGAGCTAGAGACAGAGAGACAGAGACAGAGAGACAGAGACAGAGAGACAGAGACATAGACAGAGAGATAGACAGAGAGATAGACAGACAGAGACAGAGAGATAGAGACAGAGAGACAGACAGAGACAGAGAGACAGAGACAGCGAGAGAGCACAGGACCCAGGTAAATGGGAGAGATCGGGGTCACAGAGGCCAGAAAAGCAGGCACAGAGGGAGCGCCAGGGCCCGGGGAGAGCCCGGGGACCGGCGGGGGTTCGGCCCGCACCTTCGGGGTTGGGCGAGCGCAGCAGGTTGCGGTAGAGCGGGCGGCGCAGGAGCAGCAGCGTCCAGGTGAGGCCGGCGGGCAGCTCCAGGCTCCCGCCCGGCGGCCCCCACTCCTCCAGCAGCAG